CATATACATACTTATTATAATACTTAGATACAGATTGGTAAGTAGGGAGGTAGATTGAGATACATGGATATAAAGAATTTTATTATGATCCAGAGTCTTGTTTTAAATGTAATGGGCAAAACAGACTAAATGTAGTATGTAAGAAATAGATTCTTACAAAATCTTCTTACAGTGATGATTCTCATTCCTCTGATGCCTTCACACCAGTAGGGTGTATGTCTGCCTTAGACCCAGGATATTCTTGAAGAGGCAGGCCTCTTAGAGCTTCACCTTCAGCTTGGTGTTGTCCAATGTCATGGCACTTATGTCTAAGGAAAACTTATTTTCCTGGGGCAGAAGCTGCCTTAAATCCTTATATTAACAAATAAATGTCGAGGTGGTTATATGTCAGTTATATTTCAACTAAAAAAATCCTGAGGTTGAATCAGTCACAGGAATAATAAATTAAAATACAACATTAACCACTTCCTTTAAACAATATCTAAGATAATAATATACCACTTATTCCTTTCTATGTGCCAGATGCCTGACAATCTATGTGGTAGTTAATATCTTTATTTTTATAATTTAGGAAAACAAAGCTCTGAGAGATTAATGGCCGAAGTCACACAGCTAGACAGTGACATAGCCAGAGTGTCTGACTCTGAAGTCATATTTTTCTTCATTAAGCAATACTGTTAAACAGGGAAAAACAATTCTTCCAAATATCATAGCAGATTTACCTTTTCCTTTCATGTTTTTGCCCCCAGCACTCATTGTTTCTTGTGGCAGGATCTCATTTGTCTATTATGCTTCCTTTTCCTTTATCTCAAGTTAGAAACACACTGGCTTCAGAAATCCTTTCATAAGCAGGTAGGAAACTTGTCAAAATCCCAAGTACAGCAAAATTACTAAATTTAAATGATGAAACACTGTACAGACCATCTCTGCAAATGTACACAATAAACTGGTAACAATTTCTTTCTTTGAGAACTAGATGACGAGAGGACAGTGGTTAGAGGTGAACCTGTGTGTGTGTGTGTGTGTGTGTGTGTGTGTGTGTACAATCTTGCATAGCTTGACTTTTAAAAAAACCCACTGTTTATGTATTACCTATTTTAAAGAGATGATTATGCAAAATGATGCCCATTAACAAGGCTTCTTGGTTCTTTTAATCTTGTGTCAGTTCACGCTGAGAGCCTTGGGCTCTGACTGCACCCTAGGAAAAAGCCAGTTGATGCAACAACTTCTCAGTAGCTTACTAGTAAAAAATATTTCCACCTTAATCTTTGTAAATATGGCCAGAGTATGCCATAGCACATCATTCTACTTCCTAAACATCCTCAGTGTGAGCTTTATACAGTAGTACTGGCTTAGTATCCATTGAGAATTCAGTTTTGTGGCTGCCTCATCTGGAGTAAATCAGTTCCCTGTAATAACTGTATTGACATTGTGTTCTGAGAAATTCCTCAGGAATATAGTTCAGGTTTCATCCTGTTCATTTAAAAGTATTTGCATGGGGAAAAATATGTTTATGTTAATATAAAGTAACCCATTTATTTTAGTTAAATTACTATTTCTTGACAGTACATTCCACTTAAACAACTAATCAGCTAACTCTCGTTCCCAGAGACCTATGTAAGAAAGCTATTTTTAACAAGTGAAGAAGCCACAGTATTTAGAGGTTTATTGGTCTGCCATGTGTCCATCATAAACAGCTACATTTTATTCCTTCATAAAAGGGCTTTCCAAATGCAGTCTATGAGACATAAAAATTGGTAAGCATGGACTTAATAGTGAATGTAGGCCTAATGACAAAGCTAACCTAAGAAACACATTACTGCAGCAAAATGGGTTTGCGGCTCCAATGGATCAGTTTTTCTTGTCAGATAAGAGAATGAAGCAGTGCAGTGGTGATAAAATGCACCTCTGTCTTTGGTAGCTCCAATTCCTGAAGTTCTCTTGTATCTTCTCAATGTAATAAACTTCCTCCTTTAATCATGGATGATGAATAGCACCTTAATAACAGGTTACACAAATGGGCACCATTACTTTATGGTACTTGACTTCAGTTCCTTTTCCTTTTGCCACCCTAGGCTTATTGACATCCATGGTTCATGATTTTTTGTTTCTTTCAAATGCAAAGTAGGTTGTGGGGTGGGACTCTTTGAGATTAAGTCAGCCTCATTGCATATCAGAAGAAAAGTATGTTCACTTCTAAGAATTGAAGCGCACAGACAATAAAACGAGTTCATTTATTTATTAGTAATGGGAACAGTTATCCCCTTCCAGCTCCTCTCCCAGCAAATAATGTACTCTTTAGAACTAAGAGGGTTTCTTTTGAACATTCTTTCCCTAACAATGGGAGGTGATTCTTTTTTCTTTCCTTCTTACTCTCTCCCAAATCTAGAATGTTTCTGCCTGCCAATTTAGACTAGTTTTACCTCAGAAAGTATCAGAGAAGTAAACTGACACTTTGTCAGTGCTATTCTGTATATACAGTATAATAATATGCAGTAAATGACCATATCCAAAGAATAATATGCTCTATTAATTATAGGAAAGGTGAAAGAGTTCTCGCCATTTAACCTAATCTCTGCATCTGAGCTTTGATGCCTATTCCTTTACCTTTCTAGTAACCCACAAAATTATGCCTGTTTTCTCCTGGATAGTCAATTCAGTTCTTATCAACTGAATCTTTTTGCAACTTCATTTCAGCATGCTCTAATCTCACTCAATTCAATCCAAACAAAGTAAAACAAAACCTACTTTTGACCTATATTTCCTTTACTGCCTTATCCCTTTTTTCACCTAAAAATCAAACTTATTTTGTACTTCTATCTCCATTTCCTCACCTCTGCTTTTTTCAGGCCTCTGTATTACTACCCCAAACAATAATGGATAAAGTTACTGAACCTTTCCCTAATCAGTAAATCCAAGACATTTTCTTGTGTTCTCATCTTACTTGATGAGTAAGTCTTGATCTTAGTAAGGACTGGACTTTGTTGACTACTACTACTTCTGTCCAGAAACACTCCGCTGGCTTTCCTTAACTTGCTCTCAACTCCCTGCTTCTCCTTCTTTCTCTCCATACAAGTTCATTTTCCTTTACAGGGCAATCAGTATTGTAGTATCTTAAGACTTGTTTCCAGGACTTCTTTTCTTACTAGAAACTTGGTCCTAGTCATCTCATCCAAACCAGCAGCTTCATTTATACTGACAACTCCCAAGCTAATGTTTCTAGGAAAGACCTCTCTGGCTTAAGACAAACTTGGATTGATTTGCTTCCAATATATCTATATGGGATCCTAAACTTTCCAAGGGATGAATGCCCCTCCCCCAACTCCAGATAAAATATAACAGAAAACACTTTTCCTGTCTATTCCAGCTTCAAATCCTGTTGATTCTACCTCCTAAAAATCTCTCAAATCTTTCCTCTTCTCTTCATCACCATTGTCACCACCCTAGCCAAAAAGTCTTTCAATGTAAATTTTTTGTCCATCAGAGTCTTTTTATTTCATAATAAAAGTTTAACTAGCACCAATGAGGGCTATAGTTATTTGGGATTAAAATAAAATTTATTAACATAACCTTTAAAACCTGGGGTTCCATAAATCATTAGTTTCTATTTACAAAATCTGCTCTTTAGAAATCTAGATATATATATATATAATGTAAACACTTTGATACTTGTTTGAAAGACTATTATATCCCTGAATGCATAGGGCATAGCAGAGTGCCTAGAACACAAAAAACACTTAATGTTTGTTAGATGAGTGAATAATTGTTCAAAGTTATTTTCTCCCTTATATTCTCCCAACTTCCTCTAAGTAAAAATTAAAGCTTTCCATTTTAATTCTTAGGTGTCATTCGTGATTATAATCTGCAAATTCTCATTCTATGTATTTAGCTTTCTAATCCATTCAGATTTTTTTTTAGTTTATTTAATAGTACGTGTTTTTATTTTCCATTCAGATTTGTACATTATGGGCAATGGCTTTGGCTATTAATAAAATGAAGGCAGGAGTAAATAGGGGCAGAATCCTTAACATGTCCACAAATCGTGATTTATAGTGGTAATCTGTTAGGAAAGGCTAGCTCATTTTCCTACTTGAACGGGAGACTTAAAAAAAAAATCTCTAGGATCCCTAAATCCTGCAGATAAGGAAATTCCCTCCTCTTTGATACTCCAGGTCCATAAAGCCAAGCCAATCAGGTCTTTTCCTGATGCTTTTTGCTGGGAAAAGGGTTTTCGGGGAAATACTGAGCTTTTCTTTCTCTAAAAGTAGGTCAGAGTAAACAATCTTTAAACACAATACACTGGAATTCTCCAAAACAACTAATCCTAATGTGATGAGGTTTTCTGTTTTTTTTAAGTCCGTATCTGTTTAAGATGAATACTGAAAGGGTGACTGACACCAACTTTGGGGTTTGCTTAAAATATTTCAGCAAATAAAAAAAAGTGGGGTGGTAGTGAGGATCGATGAAACAAGGTTGCAAAATGTTGAAAATTTCTGAAATTCTGTAAATTCATTATACTTTTCTTTGAGATTTTTCCACCTTAAAGTTTAAAACTTTTAGCGTTTTCTATTTTTTGCTCTCAGAACTCCCTTTTGTTTATTAATCTGAGATGAGTTCTAGGCACAAGAGGAGGAAAACTGCACAACCAGTCCTTTTGCAAGCCTCTTCTATGCACTTGTAAATACACCGACTCATTAGGGGAAGCTTTATTTTTGTTATATACATTATAGGCATATAAGTATTTACATACTTAACTTTAAAACAAAGAAAATTGGCCTTCTGCACATCCCTGAAGCTTGGAAGGGTACTAAACCACCTTCTTTATTATCCCGACCTTCTTACAACCACAGTATTACAACGCCTTCCAGAATCGGACCTTTCGCCCGGCACGTCACGCGTTTAGGGTGGACTGTGCCGGGATTCCGGGCCGACTCGCAGCCCCGCCCCGAGGGCGGAGCAACGCGCTCCCCTCCGCCTCCTCCCGCCTGGCCGCTGCCCCGGGTGCCGGTGGCGCATGTGCCCTGCTCCCCTCCCCGGCCCTGGATTCCACTTCCTTTCCGCTCACGCTGCAGCCGCAGCCGCCTCCAGGCCTTGCGCCGCCTCCAGGCCTCGCGCCGCCTCCGGAGTCCATGGCCGGGACGCGCTGGGTGCTCGGGGCGCTGCTCCGAGGCTGCGGCTGCAACTGTAGCAGTTGCCGGCGCACCGGCGCCGCCTGCTTGCCTTTCTACTCGGCAGCCGGCTCCTTCCCCTCGGGCGTCTCGGGCCGTCGCCGCCTGCTGCTGCTGCTCGGGGCCACGGCGGCCGCCGCCTCTCAGACGCGAGGCCTTCAGATCGGGTCTGCGCCCGCCGGGAGGCTGGCGGAGCCTCCCCACACTGCCGCCGCCGCGGCCGCCGCCTCTTTCCCAGCCCTGCGAGCCCCTCTGCTGCCGCAGTCGCTGGCGGCGGCCGCGGGCCCGGCGCGGGGCTACAGCCAGGTACGTGGGTGCCGCAGGGGGCCGCGCGCAGAGCCCGCCCCCGGCCGCGCACACGCTCCCCCGCGCGCGCGCCCAGGGATGGGCGGCACAAGCTGCAACCCCCACAACCCCCACGTCCCCGCCCGCGCACCTGGTCTTCCTATTGGGCCCAGGAACAAGGGATGCTCTCCCGGGCCTCGGGTTTTCTCCTTGTTTTGTTCTCTCGAGTCTCTGGTCCGTTGAGCAGTGTAAGTGTGGCTGGGGGTGAATGTTGAGGCCTTGTTTCCCTCTGGCCCATGGTAGGTTCTGTGAGGCTGTTGACGCCTCCACCCGGCATCCCTGTCACTCTCCTGCTCGTTGCGAAGTCGGGAGGCCAGACGCCCGGATGGTTGCGAGTTTCCGTGCAGCCCGAGCATTAGGCCTGGGTGGCCCTGGGCGCGCCTGCGGGCCAATGATGGGAAGGTTTGCTCACAACACATCGTGGGCTGTGTTCGTGGAGAAGAGGAGGCTCGTCCCCAGCCCTCCTCTTTCTCTCCTCTCCCTAAAGAAAGACGGGCTGCCCCAGTTTGCTGAAGGTCACCTCTGCACCTCCACTTCCTCTAAGAGAAGGTCCTTTAAGGACCGTGGGTCGCCGCTGACCGGGAAGACAGTTTAGAGACTGTGATATTTGGGGAGGGGATTTATAGAGTAAAGGCCACGATTTGAGGACTCAGGAGTGAGTCTACAGTGTTTTCTTTTTAATAAGTGTGTGCTTTAAGAACTTAGGTCACAAATATTCTGTGCCTTGTAGGGAGCTTTTTTTTCCCGCCTGTTACGTGGCATCTGGGAGTTGTCAGCATACTTTTTGACTACCCACCTCCTGATGCCTAGGGTCATATAATGTTAATTTAGTTTGTGCATCTCTTTGAACTTAGGGAAACTGGGAGGTAAATCAGCATGGCTGCTGTCTGCCAGCGGCTGAGCTAATTGATTTGAATCCTGGCCCAGTATTTTTTGCTTACCCTTCTGTGTAGGAGCTTGTGATACTTACGGAATTCTGGGAAAATGGGGAATGTTGCCTGTATTAAAAAACATTATCTCTGAAAAGCCTATGTTAGCTGGTTACTCCCTTAATTTGATTATTTTTTCTGTGAAATTGACTGTAATATCTGTTAAGCGTCTACTGGTGCTACCCACTGCTTACGTTTATCATTGACTCCTTAAAATTGTATGTTAAGTCTTTCTGAAAATGACGGTAACATACAGAGGAGTAAAATGTCTCTTTCCTTAGCTTGACTTAAAGCCTGAGTGTCTTCCTATGTTGATAATTGTAGCGCTTGTTGCGTTCTTATTAAATATGTATTAGATCTCTGCTAGGGATTTACATTTATCTTTGACTCCTTAAAATTAGACATTTCTTCATTTAAGTGGTGGGCTAGTACAAAGGAATCTCTTTCCTGAGCTTAGTAGAGTGAAAGTCTTAAAACCGGAGTTGTCTTCTGTTATTATAGACTTGTTGAAGTCTCACAAATTCCAGTTTTTGCTTAGTCTTGTAAAATAGGGTGCTTTAAGTATGTCTGTCTTCTGTTGTGACACTGCTGCTATCGCCTTTTATAATCCTTCCCTTATTCAGTTGGTCTCACATACCAGTTGACAGGTTGATATTTGCAAGCATCCTGCTGGCTTGTTGATTTACCCACTCCTAAATGTCTTTTTAACTCCACTTTGCCTACCAGGTTAAGGACACACATTGAGCTTGTGATACTCAAGTCTTTCTGCTATATAGTACAAGGTTCTTTTTGCTAGCTCATCTTCTTTGGCTCCTAATTATAGCCTACAGTTTAGCCAGATGGGATTATTGCTGTTATGCCAATAGACTTTTGTTCATTCTGGTCCTTCCCCTCACCTCTCAAACTGGAATGCCCTACCCTTTATATATTGCTGTCAGAATTCTATCTTCCTTTCAAGACCCATCTTGTATCATGTCTTGATTCTTGTGTTAGTGCTGTTTTGAATTCCTGTAATATCTCATATCTTAATTATAGCATTTAAAGCATCTTGTATCCTATCCTTGTTTTAGTCTAAATGGTAAGCTTTTTGAGATGAGGGTGCACTGTGATAAGGAGGCACTCCCATATTTGTCAAATTGAAGGGACCCCTCTTGTCCTGGCTTAACTAAAACACTATTATTAAGTGTAATTAGGGACTGATAGAATTTAAAAACAAGCCCTGACTAAAATTTAAGTCCTGCCAAACCATTAGGATACTATCAGAATATGTAATTTAAGCCAACACAAGATAAATTAGACCTATAAAGCTTCCTTTTAGCCTCTGAAATAGTAACTGCTCCCTAAGAATGACAATCCAGAGCGTTAGTTTGAAGAAATAAATATTTTCTAACTAGGTTGTCAAAGAAACATTTTTACATTTCTTCTTTTCTTTTTGGAAGGAGTCCAAAGCTACCTACCTGGAAGATCTTCCGCCTCTCCCTGAGTATGAATTGGCTCCATCCAAGTTAGGAGAGGAAGTGGATGATGTTTATCTCATTCGAGCTCAAGGATTACCATGGTCATGCACTCTAGAAGATGTGCTTAACTTTTTCTCAGGTATATTTTACATATGTTTTAAATATGTAATTTTGTCTAGGTAAAGGTAGTCCCACAAAATCTAAGTTAAGCAATGCTGGAGACTTTTTATTTGATGGCTGGGAAGTGTCAGATTTTGGCTGGTTACATACAGATATCAAGTGAAACCATGTGTACCATTTAATACATTGCCTGGTTTAAAGACTTTGCTATAAAAACTTAAATGTTAAAACTACATAGTATGAAGCCAAGTTTCTCTGAAGTTTTAATATGTACATATCAAAAAGCCAAACCTGACAGTGGAAATACCTTAGTAGGCATATAGGTAAAGAGTAGCTCTTTATGTAATATATATGTTTATAATTCAAGATAACTTAGTACCAAATGACATAGTTCCCTTGATAACATGTTTGGAAGGTTTACATATCTGGTTAGTTTTTTTAGTTTCTGTAACTGAGTATAATTTTTAATTTTCCTCTAAAGAGGCTTGTAGAAGTTGCCACCCAAAATGCTGTAAAATGACATAAGAATTTATTTATTAAGCACCATAGCCTATTGTATGGGTCAAACATTTGATATCTTCAGCTTGCTCCCATTAAAAGAAGTATGCTATATGGGGATGTCTTTCCCTGGTAATGAAAAGGGGGAGAAGTTAAATTATGGTAGCAAAATTATTATTATGTGAGGTATTTGAGAGTTTTTATGGTTATGATTGTAACAGAAGAAGACACTTATGTACAAATCTAATCATCTTTTAATTCCTCAAGTGATTTGAAACTGATTGTAGAAGTATTGGGAGGAACGTAATGCATCTTGTGTGGATCCTAGCCTCGTTTGCATTTAATGATCAGGAGATCAGAAGCTTTTGTGCTAAGGTTTGCTCATCACTTCACCATAGAAGGTTTAGTGAGGACCACTTCATTGTCAGATGGCTTCAGTGCTGGGGGTTTGTGTAAGCAGTTTTGTTACTGCTTTTTGTTTTTGGAAGATTGCATTCTAACAACCTGTATAATTGGGCTAAAAGTTTGATTTCTGGTTTTAATTTTACTCACATACTTTTAGACTGCAGAATTCGCAATGGCGAGAATGGAATACACTTCCTCTTAAATAGAGATGGGAAGCGAAGGGGTGATGCCTTAATTGAAATGGAATCAGAGCAGGATGTGCAAAAAGCCTTAGAGAAGCACCGCATGTACATGGGGCAGCGGTATGTGGAAGGTACGTGAAGTCACTTTCTGGCTTCTCTTGGATTTAATGGGTCATTACATTAGAGTTTTTGCTTTCCAAGGCAGTTTCATTTGCTCCTTAATGGTAGTGAAGTAGTTAGATATTATGAATATACCCTTTTACAGGATGTGAAAATGAAGCACAGAGATAATCGTAGTTTATCTGTAAAATAAGGGTGTTGACCAAGTTTACCTCACAAGTTGTGATGTTTAAATGAGTTACACTTTCCACATGGTAAATAGTCAATAAATGTCATTTGTTACTTTCTCCAGAGAATCACATAAAGATTAAAAATACTAGCTTTTAAATTCTTGGATAACCCACCAAGTGTGATTTAAAAACAAAACAAAACAACTGCTTCTTTGGTTATGTAAATTTGCGTGTCGTTTGTGCTTTTTTTGTAGTCTATGAGATAAACAATGAAGACGTGGATGCCTTAATGAAGAGCCTGCAGATCAAATCTTCACCTGTGGTAAATGACGGTGTGGTTCGTTTGAGAGGACTTCCCTACAGTTGCAATGAGGGGGACATCATAGATTTCTTTGCAGGTGCTTTTCAGTTACCTTCTTTTTTCCCTCCATTTTCTCCTATCTCTTAGGTAAACCTGTTTCTAGAACTGCATACAGTTATATTAGGTTCTTTAGGGGAGAACTCTTCACTCAGATTCCCAGTATTTATAGATTATGTAAATGTTTTGACCTACCTCGCTGATCTTTGGGGGATATCAGATTTCAAATGATTTCATGTGGATTTATTTTACTGTTGAGGAAAATACCCTCTCATAAAAGTGGCCATATTAGTCTCAGACAATAATATGTTGACTTAAAAGCATTATTTAATTATTAGCTGAAAAATTTGTAGCATTAGTGGTGATGTTAGTCTAAATCTCTATTTCCCCGAGTATATAATTGGAAAAATAAATAGGTGGACAGGGGGAGAGAATTGTGTGTTTTAGATGGACTGCTTGAACACTAAATAGCCGGGAAGTATACATGTGTTGGTGTCACTAGCTTTTGACTGCATAATTTTCTTCCCATCAGCTATGTGTCCAGCTTTGGGACTGGCAAAACAGTTCCCAGATTTTACTGACAATATAAAGCTGATACCTAAATGAATGTGTTAATCTAAGGATTTAAAGTGCTCCTGATAGCAGCACTAATTTGTAATAATTTTTTGGTGTCTAGGACTGAATATAGTAGACATTACTTTTGTCATGGACTACAGAGGGAGAAGAAAAACAGGGGAAGCCTATGTGCAATTTGAAGAGCCAGAAATGGCCAACCAAGCCCTACTGAAGCACAGGGAGGAAATTGGTAACCGGTGAGTGATGCAGACATTAATGGTACAGAATGTCACACATTGGCTCATTTTGATGAATGTACTGTAATATGACTATGAAACGCAGAGAAGTAGAGTGGTAAAACGGGCTGTCAAATGTGACGTGGTCCACACATTGCATTTGATTGTTATGTCTCCAGTTTTATTAAACTAGAGCAAATTCCCCTTCCTTTTTTTCCCCTCCCTTTTTTCAAATGCTATTGATTTTTGAAGAAATTGGGTCTGTTGTCCTGTGCAGTGTCTCATGGTCTGTATTTATCTTATTGCTTCCTTTCAGTGTCATTTAACTTGTTCCTTTGTATCCTCTGTTAAAAACTAGAAGTTAGAACCTTCATTAAAAACTGGAAGTTAGAACCTCAGTCGGTTCAGGTTAACATCTTCATATGAATCCTCTATAGGTGACATTGCATATCACATCATGTGAGGATGTATGTATGATGTGTTAGAATTGGTGGGTTTATTTGTGTTTTAACTTTTAATATGGAGGACTACTCAAAACTGTCATTTTAAATCTCTGTTTTGGGGCTTTCTGGCCTTTTTCTTTGAAGTTTACAAAACAAGCAGCAATTCCAAAGCCACTGTATTTTACAATCTACTTTAAAAATTGGTTCAAAGGTCTGTATTATATGATTTTTAAATGAAAAAAGTATATGCAAAGCATCCCCCCATTTTTTTTCAGCACCGTTTATATTTTCATATGACGTACATTGGAACACATCAGTGTTGTTTTATGTGGGAACAAAAGACAGTGTACAAATCTCTTCCATAAATTAAGGTGTGGTGCCCATCTAATCTTTGTAGTTCTGTAAATACAAATAATTTTTGCAATTTAGGCTTAATAATATAATTTGGAAAAGCAATGTTCAGTAAAAGAAAACTTACTCCAGAAGCTCAGATTTAATAGATAATTGCTAAGCTGATGGGATGTCAGAATTGACATTTAATTCATGAATTCTCATTAGCCTTTTAGTGAAGTTCTGGGAGAACTTAGTTCCTCCTATGCTATAACTTTCAGTGTCTTATAAAGATATGATTAATTTTCACAGAATTGAAATGTCAGGCTTCAAGAGATTGTTTAACCAGTTGTAAGAACAAAACAAAACAAAACCCTTCTTCCCAAATTAATTCTTTTCACACACATAGTTAACCTTAGCATAGTTGTCCTCATGAAGCAAAATAGGGTAGAAGATACTGTTAAATGTATATGAAGAAAGGTGTTATCTTTGGGGAGGAAGGGATTAAATCAACGGCCTATTTTGTTGAGAGTACTTTTACATGGGCTAGTATCTATATCTGTTCTTACTTTTCTCCCCACCTGTTATCTTTGAATAAGCTATTGGAAATATAATATGTATATATATGTTTTATTTTAAATAAATTCAGTATAAATTTATTTTGTCATGTGCCTGTTCACTTTTTGTTTCACATAGATATATAGAGATATTTCCAAGCAGAAGGAATGAAGTTCGAACACACATTGGTTCTCATAAGGGAAAGAAAACAACATCTTCTCCTACTGCTAAGTATGTAACTGAGCCAGAAATGGTCTTTGAAGAACATGAAGTAAATGAGGATATTCAACCCATGACAGCTTTTGAAAGTGAGAAAGAACTAGGTAAGGGCCTGCTCTTGTTGAGACTCATTGGGTCTATCTTGCATGTTTTGATATTAAAAAACTCCTTTATGACCATTTTGTATGAAATTGTAAGGTTATAGGATAAGGGAACTAAGTTAAAAATTTGTGTCTTTGACAAGTACCAAATGATTTCACCCATTTGTGGAGTATAACAATGAAACAAAACTGAAGAAACAAAACCACAGACTCTAAGAGACTAGTAGTTACCAAAGGGGAGGGGTAGGGGAGGGAGGGAGAAGGGGATTAAGGGGCATTATAATTAGCACACATAATGTAGGTGGTTTCCTGAGCTTAGTAGAGTGAAAGTCTTAAAACCGGAGTTGTCTTCTGTTATTATAGACTTGTTGAAGTCTCACAAATTCCAGTTTTTGCTTAGTCTTGTAAAATAGGGTGCTTTAAGTATGTCTGTCTTCTGTTGTGACACTGCTGCTATCGCCTTTTATAATCCTTCCCTTATTCAGTTGGTCTCACATACCAGTTGACAGGTTGATATTTGCAAGCATCCTGCTGGCTTGTTGATTTACCCACTCCTAAATGTCTTTTTAACTCCACTTTGCCTACCAGGTTAAGGACACACATTGAGCTTGTGATACTCAAGTCTTTCTGCTATATAGTACAAGGTTCTTTTTGCTAGCTCATCTTCTTTGGCTCCTAATTATAGCCTACAGTTTAGCCAGATGGGATTATTGCTGTTATGCCAATAGACTTTTGTTCATTCTGGTCCTTCCCCTCACCTCTCAAACTGGAATGCCCTACCCTTTATATATTGCTGTCAGAATTCTATCTTCCTTTCAAGACCCATCTTGTATCATGTCTTGATTCTTGTGTTAGTGCTGTTTTGAATTCCTGTAATATCTCATATCTTAATTATAGCATTTAAAGCATCTTGTATCCTATCCTTGTTTTAGTCTAAATGGTAAGCTTTTTGAGATGAGGGTGCACTGTGATAAGGAGGCACTCCCATATTTGTCAAATTGAAGGGACCCCTCTTGTCCTGGCTTAACTAAAACACTATTATTAAGTGTAATTAGGGACTGATAGAATTTAAAAACAAGCCCTGACTAAAATTTAAGTCCTGCCAAACCATTAGGATACTATCAGAATATGTAATTTAAGCCAACACAAGATAAATTAGACCTATAAAGCTTCCTTTTAGCCTCTGAAATAGTAACTGCTCCCTAAGAATGACAATCCAGAGCGTTAGTTTGAAGAAATAAATATTTTCTAACTAGGTTGTCAAAGAAACATTTTTACATTTCTTCTTTTCTTTTTGGAAGGAGTCCAAAGCTACCTACCTGGAAGATCTTCCGCCTCTCCCTGAGTATGAATTGGCTCCATCCAAGTTAGGAGAGGAAGTGGATGATGTTTATCTCATTCGAGCTCAAGGATTACCATGGTCATGCACTCTAGAAGATGTGCTTAACTTTTTCTCAGGTATATTTTACATATGTTTTAAATATGTAATTTTGTCTAGGTAAAGGTAGTCCCACAAAATCTAAGTTAAGCAATGCTGGAGACTTTTTATTTGATGGCTGGGAAGTGTCAGATTTTGGCTGGTTACATACAGATATCAAGTGAAACCATGTGTACCATTTAATACATTGCCTGGTTTAAAGACTTTGCTATAAAAACTTAAATGTTAAAACTACATAGTATGAAGCCAAGTTTCTCTGAAGTTTTAATATGTACATATCAAAAAGCCAAACCTGACAGTGGAAATACCTTAGTAGGCATATAGGTAAAGAGTAGCTCTTTATGTAATATATATGTTTATAATTCAAGATAACTTAGTACCAAATGACATAGTTCCCTTGATAACATGTTTGGAAGGTTTACATATCTGGTTAGTTTTTTTAGTTTCTGTAACTGAGTATAATTTTTAATTTTCCTCTAAAGAGGCTTGTAGAAGTTGCCACCCAAAATGCTGTAAAATGACATAAGAATTTATTTATTAAGCACCATAGCCTATTGTATGGGTCAAACATTTGATATCTTCAGCTTGCTCCCATTAAAAGAAGTATGCTATATGGGGATGTCTTTCCCTGGTAATGAAAAGGGGGAGAAGTTAAATTATGGTAGCAAAATTATTATTATGTGAGGTATTTGAGAGTTTTTATGGTTATGATTGTAACAGAAGAAGACACTTATGTACAAATCTAATCATCTTTTAATTCCTCAAGTGATTTGAAACTGATTGTAGAAGTATTGGGAGGAACGTAATGCATCTTGTGTGGATCCTAGCCTCGTTTGCATTTAATGATCAGGAGATCAGAAGCTTTTGTGCTAAGGTTTGCTCATCACTTCACCATAGAAGGTTTAGTGAGGACCACTTCATTGTCAGATGGCTTCAGTGCTGGGGGTTTGTGTAAGCAGTTTTGTTACTGCTTTTTGTTTTTGGAAGATTGCATTCTAACAACCTGTATAATTGGGCTAAAAGTTTGATTTCTGGTTTTAATTTTACTCACATACTTTTAGACTGCAGAATTCGCAATGGCGAGAATGGAATACACTTCCTCTTAAATAGAGATGGGAAGCGAAGGGGTGATGCCTTAATTGAAATGGAATCAGAGCAGGATGTGCAAAAAGCCTTAGAGAAGCACCGCATGTACATGGGGCAGCGGTATGTGGAAGGTACGTGAAGTCACTTTCTGGCTTCTCTTGGATTTAATGGGTCATTACATTAGAGTTTTTGCTTTCCAAGGCAGTTTCATTTGCTCCTTAATGGTAGTGAAGTAGTTAGATATTATGAATATACCCTTTTACAGGATGTGAAAATGAAGCACAGAGATAATCGTAGTTTATCTGTAAAATAAGGGTGTTGACCAAGTTTACCTCACAAGTTGTGATGTTTAAATGAGTTACACTTTCCACATGGTAAATAGTCAATAAATGTCATTTGTTACTTTCTCCAGAGAATCACATAAAGATTAAAAATACTAGCTTTTAAATTCTTGGATAACCCACCAAGTGTGATTTAAAAACAAAACAAAACAACTGCTTCTTTGGTTATGTAAATTTGCGTGTCGTTTGTGCTTTTTTTGTAGTCTATGAGATAAACAATGAAGACGTGGATGCCTTAATGAAGAGCCTGCAGATCAAATCTTCACCTGTGGTAAATGACGGTGTGGTTCGTTTGAGAGGACTTCCCTACAGTTGCAATGAGGGGGACATCATAGATTTCTTTGCAGGTGCTTTTCAGTTACCTTCTTTTTTCCCTCCATTTTCTCCTATCTCTTAGGTAAACCTGTTTCTAGAACTGCATACAGTTATATTAGGTTCTTTAGGGGAGAACTCTTCACTCAGATTCCCAGTATTTATAGATTATGTAAATGTTTTGACCTACCTCGCTGATCTTTGGGGGATATCAGATTTCAAATGATTTCATGTGGATTTATTTTACTGTTGAGGAAAATACCCTCTCATAAAAGTGGCCATATTAGTCTCAGACAATAATATGTTGACTTAAAAGCATTATTTAATTATTAGCTGAAAAATTTGTAGCATTAGTGGTGATGTTAGTCTAAATCTCTATTTCCCCGAGTATATAATTGGAAAAATAAATAGGTGGACAGGGGGAGAGAATTGTGTGTTTTAGATGGACTGCTTGAACACTAAATAGCCGGGAAGTATACATGTGTTGGTGTCACTAGCTTTTGACTGCATAATTTTCTTCCCATCAGCTATGTGTCCAGCTTTGGGACTGGCAAAACAGTTCCCAGATTTTACTGACAATATAAAGCTGATACCTAAATGAATGTGTTAATCTAAGGATTTAAAGTGCTCCTGATAGCAGCACTAATTTGTAATAATTTTTTGGTGTCTAGGACTGAATATAGTAGACATTACTTTTGTCATGGACTACAGAGGGAGAAGAAAAACAGGGGAAGCCTATGTGCAATTTGAAGAGCCAGAAATGGCCAACCAAGCCCTACTGAAGCACAGGGAGGAAATTGGTAACCGGTGAGTGATGCAGACATTAATGGTACAGAATGTCACACATTGGCTCATTTTGATGAATGTACTGTAATATGACTATGAAACGCAGAGAAGTAGAGTGGTAAAACGGGCTGTCAAATGTGACGTGGTCCACACATTGCATTTGATTGTTATGTCTCCAGTTTTATTAAACTAGAGCAAATTCCCCTTCCTTTTTTTCCCCTCCCTTTTTTCAAATGCTATTGATTTTTGAAGAAATTGGGTCTGTTGTCCTGTGCAGTGTCTCATGGTCTGTATTTATCTTATTGCTTCCTTTCAGTGTCATTTAACTTGTTCCTTTGTATCCTCTGTTAAAAACTAGAAGTTAGAACCTTCATTAAAAACTGGAAGTTAGAACCTCAGTCGGTTCAGGTTAACATCTTCATATGAATCCTCTATAGGTGACATTGCATATCACATCATGTGAGGATGTATGTATGATGTGTTAGAATTGGTGGGTTTATTTGTGTTTTAACTTTTAATATGGAGGACTACTCAAAACTGTCATTTTAAATCTCTGTTTTGGGGCTTTCTGGCCTTTTTCTTTGAAGTTTACAAAACAAGCAGCAATTCCAAAGCCACTGTATTTTACAATCTACTTTAAAAATTGGTTCAAAGGTCTGTATTATATGATTTTTAAATGAAAAAAGTATATGCAAAGCATCCCCCCATTTTTTTTCAGCACCGTTTATATTTTCATATGACGTACATTGGAACACATCAGTGTTGTTTTATGTGGGAACAAAAGACAGTGTACAAATCTCTTCCATAAATTAAGGTGTGGTGCCCATCTAATCTTTGTAGTTCTGTAAATACAAATAATTTTTGCAATTTAGGCTTAATAATATAATTTGGAAAAGCAATGTTCAGTAAAAGAAAACTTACTCCAGAAGCTCAGATTTAATAGATAATTGCTAAGCTGATGGGATGTCAGAATTGACATTTAATTCATGAATTCTCATTAGCCTTTTAGTGAAGTTCTGGGAGAACTTAGTTCCTCCTATGCTATAACTTTCAGTGTCTTATAAAGATATGATTAATTTTCACAGAATTGAAATGTCAGGCTTCAAGAGATTGTTTAACCAGTTGTAAGAACAAAACAAAACAAAACCCTTCTTCCCAAATTAATTCTTTTCACACACATAGTTAACCTTAGCATAGTTGTCCTCATGAAGCAAAATAGGGTAGAAGATACTGTTAAATGTATATGAAGAAAGGTGTTATCTTTGGGGAGGAAGGGATTAAATCAACGGTCTATTTTGTTGAGAGTACTTTTACATGGGCTAGTATCTATATCTGTTCTTACTTTTCTCCCCACCTGTTATCTTTGAATAAGCTATTGGAAATATAATATGTATATATATGTTTTATTTTAAATAAATTCAGTATAAATTTATTTTGTCATGTGCCTGTTCACTTTTTGTTTCACATAGATATATAGAGATATTTCCAAGCAGAAGGAATGAAGTTCGAACACACATTGGTTCTCATAAGGGAAAGAAAACAACATCTTCTCCTACTGCTAAGTATGTAACTGAGCCAGAAATGGTCTTTGAAGAACATGAAGTAAATGAGGATATTCAACCCATGACAGCTTTTGAAAGTGAGAAAGAACTAGGTAAGGGCCTGCTCTTGTTGAGACTCATTGGGTCTATCTTGCATGTTTTGATATTAAAAAACTCCTTTATGACCATTTTGTATGAAATTGTAAGGTTATAGGATAAGGGAACTAAGTTAAAAATTTGTGTCTTTGACAAGTACCAAATGATTTCACCCATTTGTGGAGTATAACAATGAAACAAAACTGAAGAAACAAAACCACAGACTCTAAGAGACTAGTAGTTACCAAAGGGGAGGGGTAGGGGAGGGAGGGAGAAGGGGATTAAGGGGCATTATAATTAGCACACATAATGTAGGTGGCTCATGGGGTAGGCAGTAAAGCATGAAGACAAGTAGTGACTCTGTAGCATCTTACTATGCTGATGGACAGTGGCTGCAATGGGGTGTGTTGGGGGGACTTGATAATATGGGTGAATAATAACCACAGTATTGCTCATGGGAAACCTTTATAAGATGGTATATCAATGATACCTTAATAAAAAAAAAGAAAAAGTAAATACAGCCATACCCTTCAGGATGGAATGCAATTACCTTATTACCTGGTAAATGCTATCTTATTGACAGATTTTGTCAAAATTTCTAAATTCACAGAAAAACAATTCTTTGAATTCTCAGTTTTATAATTCAAAAATGTTCCCCTTATAACCTTTTTTTGCAGTTTGGGTTTTTTAAAAATCCATGAAAAAAAAATTTAATGTCTTTGAGTACATTATATACTTGGAATATATGCAATAGGTCTTAATTATCATGAGATTTTTAAAAATTTAACCATCTTTGTAGATTTTATGTTAAAGATGGGTGGCATAAATATAATGGAAGGAAGTAAAATGTCAGCATTTAAACCAAGGTGGGAAAAATAGGTGGGTAAAGAGCAAGAATGTTAACTGAAGTAAGGAATTTTGTTTGTCTCTGTAAATTCCTTTGATTCCTAACCCCAAAGCAACATTTGGAATATTTGATGTTTGATAACATCTTTTTTCAACTGGTGCCCTGGGATTTATCATTACCATATTTAATCTGTTTTTTTTTGTTTGTTTGCTTTTAGTCCCTATCACCCAGAGAGTTTCCCTTGCTTTTAATTTTTCATTCATAATCATTCTTCTTCTGTTGTTTCAGAAAGATGTGTTCTTTTGTTACCTGGTAATGGTTTTGAGGCACTGAGTCCTTATGGATGTTCAGGTGATATTTGTCAGATATTTCAGATCAGTTTGGCTTTTTAAATTAAAGCCCTTCTCCTTACTGATTCAAGAGGAATTGAGGATTTTGACATGTAAAGATCATACCTAATTATAATCTTAAGTAACTCTTGAAGCTTTGTTCTTGCCTGTTTTTCCCCTACTTCTCAGAATTGCCTAAGGAGATGCCAGAGAAGCCCCCGGAGGCTGCAGACTTCGGAAACGCGTCTTCGCTCCATTTTGTCCACATGAGAGGATTGCCCTTCCAGGCCAACGCCCAGGACATTGTGAATGTGTGTGGCAGTAAGATACCCAGTCTCATGAGGCTTAAACAGAGGTTTTAAAGTTGAACTTCTATTAAGTTAGGGAAGGTGGAGAAGAAAATACAGTATTTCTGGAGTATCTTTGGACAGTAAGATGGTATCTCCATTATTGTGGAGGCTTTTTTCCTTTAATTGAGAAGTGTGAGTTTTACTACATTGTAAGGTCAAATGTATTATCAATAAGAGGATTTTATAGCTGCAAAATAATTTGTTGTAGGTTTACCAATCAAAGTAAGAACATTAGTTTTTCTCTAAATTTGTTTTAGCTAGTCATTCAGGCAACAGTCAGAGGAAATTTGTCACAGAATAGTTACACACGAGACCAGAATCCAGTACTTCCACATGCCCAGAGCTTTCCTTAGACCATGTAACCTTGCATCAGGATTCCCTATGTCTGAGAAAAGTAATTTTTTAGAAATATTTGTATTTTAGAGGGGAGCCAAGATGGCCACGTGAGTAGGGCAGTGGAAATCTCCTCCCAAAACCATATATATTTTTGAAAATACAACAAATAAAACTATTCCTAAAAAAGAGACCAGTGGATACAGTACAACAGCCAGGCTACATCTACATCTGTGAGAACTCAGCATCTCATGAAGGGGGTAAGATACAAGCCATGGACCTGTGGGACCCAAGCGTTCCCCCCACCCAGCTCCCTGGTGGAAGAAAAGGAGGCGGAGCAGGGAGGCAGTGAAAGCCCAGGTCTGCTAAACAACCAGCTCTGCACCAGGAGCACAGACACAAAGTGCATGGTGTGCTGGATATTGGAGGAACAGAAAAGCAAAATCTGCGAGCTGGTGCCCACAACCGGCTCCTCTGGGACAAAAGAAAAGCAAATGCTTTTTGAAAGTCTTAAAATGGACAGGGACCTCACAGCTGGATGGAATTGTCCCGGCACACTCAGCCCAGCAGCTGGGAATTCTGGGGAACTCCAGGTACCCTAACCCCCTGGGTGGCAGTGCAGTTCTGAAGCCCCTCCTGGCGATAAGCAGCCTGCCAGTTATTCCCCCGGCCAGCGTGGCCCCTGACAGAGCAGCCCAGTAGCCTGAGAGCGGTGGTGGCAAAGCGGCCTGGGAGCGGGCGCGCAAGCCAGCAGTGGCGGTGGCCAAGTGGCCCAGGAGCAGGTCCGCGAGCTGTTGGTGACAGAGGTGAGTGGCCTGGGAGCGGCCATGCCCTCAGCAGCTGCCCAGAATCTCCCAGTGCACAGCTGCCCATGCCAGACCCAAAGGCCGCCGCCAGCATGCAGCTGCCTGGCGCAAGCAGAGAAAACCTGGGGAAGGCGTGAAGGGGTGCCACTCTCACAGGAGAGCACACCCAGCATACCTGCCACTCCCCACAGGGCTCTGTGCTACCCTAATGGCGACCCCGCCCATGGTAGTTTAGTGGATTAACCTGAAGATTGCTCCAGGAGTGCCGGTAACCGACACAGGCAGCAGAGAAGGGCAAGGCAACCAGCAAACAAGAAAGGAATTTGTTCTCCCAGCTGACACATGCGCTACCTGCCTACAGCTACCTTTATGCCATGAAAAGGCAGAATAATCTGGTCCAGTCCAGAATTTCCCAGACAACCCCCGAGAAAGGGCCTGGGGAGATAGATTTAACCAATCTTCCTGAAAAGGAATTAAAAATAAAGGCCATAACCATGCTGATGGACCTGCAGAGAAATATGCAAGAGCTGAAGGAGCAAGAAGGGCGGGAGAGTACAGAAATAAAACAATCTCTGAAAGGACTTAAGAGCAGACTGGATGAGATGCAAGAGGCCGTTAATGGAATAGAAATCAGAGAATAGGAATACAGAGAAGCTGAGGCACAGAGAGATTAAAGGATCTCCAAGAATGAAAGAATATTAAGAGAACTGTGTGATCAATCCAAACAACAATATTTGCATTCTAGAAGTACCAGAAGAAGAAGGGAGAGAAAAAGTGATAGAAAGTGTCTTTAAAGAAATAATTGCGGAAAACTTCCCCAAACTAGGGGAGGAAACAGTATCTTAGGCCACGGTGGCCCACAGAACTCCCAACACAAGGGACCCAAGGAGGACAATATGAAGACATATAATGATTAAAATGGCAAAGATCAAAGACAAAGACAGTATTAAAGGCAGCCAGAGAGAGAAAAAAGGTCAGGTCACCTACAAAAGAAAACCCATCAGGCTATCATCAGACATCTCAACAGAAACGTTACAGCCAAAGAGAATGGCATTATATATTTAATGCAATGAAACAGAAGGGCCTTGAACCAAGAATACGGTATCTAGCATGACTATCATTTAAATATGAAGGAGGGATAAAACAATTCCCAGACAAACAAAAGTTGAGGGAATTTGCCTCCCACAAAACACCTCTACAGGGTATTTTAAAGGGACTGCTCTAGATGGAAGCACTCCTAAGGCTAAATAGATGTCAACAGAGAAAATAAAATCACAGCAAAGAATGCAGACCAACCAAATACTAACTAAAGGCAAAAACTAAAATCAACTACTCACAAAAGCAGTCAAAGGAAACACAAAAGAGTACAGAATAGAACATCTAAAATATAAAGAATGGAGGAGGAGGAATAAGAAGGGAGAGAAATAATCATCAGACTGTGTTTATAATAGCTTAATAAGAGAGTTAAGTTAGATGGCTAGATAGTAAAGAAGCTACCCTTGAACCTTTGGTAACCACGAATCTAAAGCCTGCAATGGCAATAAGTACATATCTTTCAGTAATACCCTAAATGTAAATGGACTGAATGGACCAATCAAAAGACACAGAGTAACATAATGGATAAAAAAGCAAGACCCATCTATGTGCGGCTTACAATAGACTCACCTCAAACCCAAAGACACACACAGACTAAAAGTCAAGGGATGGAAAAAGATATTTCATGCAAACAATAGGGAGAAAAAAACAGGTGTTGCAGTACTAGTATCAGACAAAAAGTAGACTTCAAAACAAAGTAACAAGAGATAAAGAAGGACATTACATAATGATAAAGGGGTCAGTCCAACAAGAGGATATAACCATTATAAATATATATGCATCCAATACAGGAGCACCAACATAATGTGAAACAAATACTAACAGAATTAAAGGAGTACATAGAATGCAGTGCATTGGTTCTAGGAGACTTCAACACACCCCTCATTCCAAAGGACAGATTAACAAGACAGAAAATAGGTAAGGACACAGTGGCACTGAACAACATACTAGAACAGATGGTCTTAACAGACATCAATAGAACTCTACACACAAAAGCAGCAGGATACACATTCTTCTCAAGCGCACATGGAACATTTTCCAGAATAGACCACATAGCAGGCCACAAAAAGAGCCTCAGTAAATTAAAAAAGATTGAAATTCTACTAACCAACTTCTCAGATCACAAAGGCATAAAACTAGCAATAAATTGTACAAAGAAAACAAAAAGGCTCACAAACACATGGAGGCTTAATAGCATGCTTCTAAATAATGGATGAATGACCAAATTAAAACAGATCAAGCAATATATGGAGACAAATGACAACAGCACAAAGCCGCGACTTTTGTGGGATGCAGCAAAGGCAGTTCTAAGAGGAAAGTATATAGCAATCCAGCCCTACCTACTTAAAGAAGGAAGAACAATCCCAAATGAATAGTGTAAAGTCACAATTATTGAAACTGGAAAAAGAAGAACAAATGAGGCCTAAGGTCAGCAGAAGGAGGGACATGAGAAAGATCAGAAAAGAAATAAACAAAATTGAGAAGAATAAAACAATAGAAAAAATCGAAGAAACCAAGAGCTTGTTCTTTGAGAAAATAAACAAAATAGGTAAGCCCCTAGCCAGACTTATTAAGAGAAAATGAGAATCTATATACATGAACAGAATCAGAAATGAGAAAGGAAAAATTATGACGGGCCCCACAGAAATACAAAAAATTATTAGAGAATATTATGAAAATCTATATGTTAACAAGCTGGAAAACCTAGAAGAAATGGACAACTTCCTAGAAAAATACAACCTTCCAAGACTGACCAAGGAAGAAACAGAAAATCTAAACAGACCAATTCCCAGCAAAGAAATTGAATCGGTAATCAAAAAACTACCCAAGAACATAACCCTTGGACCTGATGTATTTACCACTGAATTTTATCAGACATATAGAGAGGACATAATACCCATTCTCCTGAAAGTTTTCCAAAAAATAGAAGAGGAGAGAATACTTCCAAACTCATCTATGAAGCTAGCATCATTCTAATACCAAAACCAGGCAACAACCCCACCAAATAAGAAAATTACAGACCAATATCCCTGATGAAAATAGATGCAAAAATAATCAACAAAATATTAGCAAACCAAATTCAAAAATACATCAAGAGGATCATACACCATGATCAAGTGGGATTCATCTCAGGGATGCAAGGATGGTACAACATTCGAAAATCCGTCAACATCATCCACCACATCAACAAAAAGAATAACAAAAACCACGATTATTTCCATAGACGCTGAAAAAGCATTCAGCAAAATTCAACATCCATTCATGATAAAAACTCTCAACAAAATGGGTATAGAGGGCAAGTACCTCAACATAATTAAGGCCATATATGACAAACCCACAGCCAACATCATACTTAACAGTGAGAAGCTGAAAACTTTTCCTCTAAGATGGGAAACAAGACAGGGATTCCCACTCTCCCCACTGTTATTCAACATAGTACTGGAGGTTCTAGCCACAGCAATCAGGCAAAACAAAAAAAATATGAGGCATCCAGATTGGTTAGGAAGAAGTCAAACTGCCACTGTTTGCAGATGACATGATATTGTACATAAGAAACCCTAAAGACTCCATTCCAAACTACTTGAACTTATACCTGAATTCAGCAAAGTTGCAGGATACAAAGTTAATACACAGAAATCTGTTGCTTTCCTATGCACTAATGATGAACTAACAGAAAGAGAAATCAGGAAAACAATTCCATTCACAATTGCATCAAAAAGTATAGAATACCTAGGAATAAACCTAACCAAGGAAGTGAAAAACCTATACCCTGAAAACTACAAGACACTCTTAAGAGAAATAAAAGTGGACACTAACAAATGGAAACTCATTCCATGCCCTTGGCTAGGAAGAATTAATATCGTCAAAATGGCCATCCTGCCTAAAGCAATCTACAGATTCAATGCAATGCCTATGAGAATACCAGCAACATTCTTCAGTGAACTGGACCAAATAGTTTTACAATTCATATGGAACCACAAAAGAACCCAAATAGCCAAAGCAATCCTGAGAAGGAAGAATAAAGCAGGGGGCATCTCACTTCCCATCTTCAAACTCCACTACAAAGCCACAGTAATCAAGACACTTTGGTACTAGCACAAGAACAGAGCCACAGACCAGTGGAACAGAATAGAGAGTCCAGATATTAACCCAAACATGTGGTCAATTAATATATGATAAAGGAGCCATGGACATACAATGGGGAAATGACAGCCTCTTCAACAGCTGGTGTTGGCAAAACTGGACAGCTATGTGTAAGTGAATGAAACTGGATCACTGTCTAAGCACATACACAAAAATAAATTAGAAATGGATGAAAGACCTGACTGTAAGTCATGAAACCATAAAACTCTTAGAAAAAAACATAGGCAAAAGTCTCTTGGACATAAACATGAATGACTTCTTCATGAACGTATCTCCCCGGGCAAGGGAAACAAAAGCAAAAATGAACAAGTGGGACTATATCAAGCTGAAAAGCTTCTGTACAGCAAAAGACACCATCAATAGAACAAAAAGGAACCCTACAGTATGGGAGAATATATTTGTAAATGACAGATCCGATAAAGGCTTGACATCCAAAATATATAAAGAGCTCACACACCTCAACAAACAAAAAACAAATAATCCAATTAAAAAATGGGCAGAAGAACTGAACAGACAGTTCTGCAAAAAAGAAATACAGATGGCCAACAGACACATGAAAAGATGCTCCACATCGCTAATTATCAGAGAAATGCAAATTAAAACTACAATGAGATATCACCTCACACTAGTAAGGATGGCTGCCATCCAAAAGACAAACAACAACAAATGTTGGTGAGGCTGTGGAGAAAGGGGAACCCTCCTACACTGTTGGTGGGAATGCAAATTAGTTCAACCATTGTGGAAAGCGGTATGGAGGTTCATCAAAATGCTCAAAACAGACCTACCATTTGACCCAGGAATTCCACTCCTAGGAATTTACCCTAAGAACGCAGCAGCCCAGTATGAAAAAGACATATGCACCCCTATGTTTATTGCAGCACTATTTACAATAGCCAAGAAACGAAAGCAACCTAAGTGTCCATCAGTAGTTGAATGGATAAAGAAGAGGTGGTACATATACACAGTGGAATCTTATTCAGCCATAAGAAGAAAATAAATCCTACCATTTGCAACAACATGGATGGAGCTAGAGGGTACTATGCTCAGTGAAATAAGCCAGGCGGAGAAAGACAAGTCCCGAATGATTTCACTCATTTGTGGAGTATAAGAACAAAGAAAAACTGAAGGAACAAAACAGCAGCAGAATCACAGAACCCAACAGTGGACTAACAGTTACCGAAGGGAAAGGGACTGGGGAGGATGGGTGGTAAGGGAGCGATAAGGGGGTGCGAAAATGAAAGGTGGCCTTATGATTAGCTTGTATAATGTGGGTGGGTGCACGGGGAGGGCTGTGCAACACAGAGAATACAACTGGTGATTCTACAGCATCTTACTACGCTGATGACCAGTGACTGTAATGGGGTTTGTGGGGGTGACTTGGTGATGGGGGGAGTCTAGTAAACATAATGTTCCTCATGTAATTGTAGGTTAGTGATACCAAAAAAAAAAAGACAAAAACAAACAAAAAAATGTATTTGTGTGTTATGATAAACAGTGTATGTAAAGATAAAACAACAAAGCCCTTATTGACTTCATGAAGTTGAGGACATACATTTAAAGTAGATCTAAACCTAGAGTCTTTGGTTAGTAGTGGGGCTTCAAGTCATCTTCATTATATCATAGGAATCCTATCTTTAGCCAAATGAAGCTTGCCCCAGACTCATTAATATATTAGTTTCTGTTGATCTGGTTGGAAATGATAACCATTAAATGTGGTAACTCTGCTTTGTAGTGCTGATAAGAAACTAGATTATCAGGTACATGTCTGATAAAAAAGAATTAATGAAGAAATGAAATGTATTTGGTGGAGAGTCTTTAGAAACGGAAGTTAGTGTGTGGGAGGAATAATATAAGTGGCTTTTGTTGGTAAAAAATGTTTGAAAACCTTTTGTAAAATATTCGATTTATAGTTTGTTATTTATTAACAGATACTTGAAATGTAACCTTGAGTACAAAGGTCAGAAGAGATGGTACATGTGTAACCACTGTGTTGCTTAAAGAAATGTCCTAAAAACAGATGTATCAGGTGTATTAATCAAAGTCTAAACAAAATGCAAAGCCATAAGACTTAAGAGAAATTGGCCTAGTACCATTATGTTCCCTTGGCTTCCTTTTTCGTTTAGTTTTTTGCTCCACTGAAGCCTGTTAGAATCACCATGGAATATAGTTCCAGTGGGAAGGCCACTGGAGAAGCTGATGTGCACTTCAATTCCCACGAGGATGCTGTTGCAGCTATGCTCAAGGATCGGTCCCATGTTCGTAAGTGCTACCTGTGGTTTTCATTGTCATTTTTTATATCAGTCTTTGCTTCCAAAAGCCTTTCTCTGTTTTGAGTTTTGCCTAGAATTTTTCCTTGGGAAAATTGTACCCTGTTAATATTACTAAATTAAGTGTAAAACAGACAAAACACTATTATAATGGTAAACATTTATTGTCTGCTAAATAGCCTGCATATTTCTATCCACAATTAGGTAAAGATTTTTTTTTTTTCATTTTTAGTTAGGGAAGGGAATAGGCGTAGGGTTTGAGTTGCTGCCTGAAATACAAGGAACATGGCTATAGTATTATTTTTGCCTTTTCAGCTTTTTAAAGTGAATCTTTTTTTTGTCATTCTCAGACCATAGGTATATTGAATTGTTCCTGAATTCATGTCCGAAAGGAAAATAAAATTTCCAGGGACTCCAGATAATAAGGTAAATTTAAGAAAGGCAACTGTGTGAGTTACTTTCAATTTGTAAATTAATCGTTAACTCAGTAATTTGCAATATTGTAAAAACAATCCTCTTTTTAATTTATCATGGTACTGAAGCATCAATATAAGGAATGAGCTTCTTCGTAGAGAATTCATTGATTGTATAATGACTTTGAGTATTTTCCCTATATAGAATCTTTTTGCATTATTTGCAACATTCATCAAGCTGTTTGCCTAAAAATAATTTATCTCCTTTTGTAGCCATAAATCATAATATACTGAAAATGTGCTTTCTTTCTATAAAATTTAAACACATTTTCTCAATTCTAAGATATTTTCAAGATCTTTAAAGAGATTCATTTAAAACCAGGATATATCACTGATACATACACTTAATATACTACTGTATTTTTTCCTAAAATAGTGTTAAGAAAATCGTTGTACTAGGAAGTACACAATTTCAGAGTTAACCTGTGATGACTCTATTAAGTATGTCCTGATGTTCCTTTCCTTGACTGTTACGGGGTGTCTTTTTCCCCCCTAAAATCTTTTAATGCATTGTAGTCATTTTTCTACATGTAGTTGTATATTTCTTTAAGACACTTAACTGTAATGATTTCTTGAAAACACATGGGGAATTTCTTTATTGTACTTTCCATGAGCTATTTTTGGTTATAAAGCTCTACAATTTCATGATATAAATAAATATATTAGCTAAAAAATACTTTCTGTGCTCAACTCTGAAAATCTGCTATCTTCATACTAGACTACAAACACTAATGCCTAACTCATTTTCTTCACCTTAGCTTTATTGAATTGTCAGATAACTTGCACTAAATCAGAAAGTAAACAAGGTATTGAATTTATAATTTTAAACAGTATGTAAACATGTACAACACATTTAGTAAATGCAACATTTTTTGTTTTATTTCAGAATGAAACAAGAGGCATTTCATTTGCACATCTTTCTTGGACATGAGACATAAAGTTCCAGTTTCTTAGCAGCAACTGCTAGAGAAAGGATTCGAGGGTTCGGTTTATTACTTATAAGAAAAATTTCGTAGTGGACTGTTTGTTTAGAAAGAAAAAGAAAAGATTCAGTTTGGAATTAAGAAATAAACCACAAATTTAAATTTTGTTTAAACTGTCCAGGATCTGATTTAAAAATCCAGTCTTTGTTTTATATGATTAAAGAGTTTGTTTTCATGGAGGATATGTACCCAGGGTAAAGACTGCATATTTTTATTCAGCACTGTCCTTTAAAATCTTTTTCTTATTTAAAAAATGATCTGTTTGAAATTTTGTTTTTTGCCTATGAATTGAGAGCTCCGATTTAAAACTTCTCTTGGAATAAAATACTGATTTATTAACCAAGTAGTCACCAAAGCAAGGAAAGTATCTTTGAATCATTATGGTTGGGCAGAGTAGTTTTAATTCTGGGTAGATTTGATTACTTAGATAGGGGTAGGAATTTAAAAAAAAAAATGCTACAGGTTAGTGAGTGTACATGGCAACCATTTGACAGTTTTATGTCTTTAGAAGTGTTTTGCCTTTCTAAGCCTTGTGCTAAAGGCAATTAACATTCGTGCCTGTATACTTAGGGAGAGAATTCTAGTCTTAACTTAAAAGTTGTTTGAACTCCCCCCCCCTCCCAACCCTTTTTTTTTTGGATTTACATAAACCTTAAGGGTGTTTGTCTCAAACTGTGAAGTGACATGTCAAAACAGTCCCTACTGCTAAGGACATTAATGGCTTCACTTGAATTTTAACCAGCTCTAGAAAGCAAAACTGTCTCCTCATTTGCTTTTTCAGTGGGGTAGCACATCCCATATTTTAGAATAAGTAGGGGTGCTTTGCTTAAATAAAAATAGCATTTAATGTATAATTGTGTGAAGGGTTTATGGAAAAAGCTGTACTTCTGTCACATTGTGGCAGTACCTTCTGCTTTAATATGAAACAGCTTGTTATTTAAATATTGGATCAAAATGACTGGCTTTAAAATGTAGTCATTAATAAACTAACTTTATGTGCACCTGTGTAGGAGAATCAAAGTCCTGTATATGTTCTTTGCTTTGTTCCTGTTCTTAGGGTGGCAACTGCCACATAGTTACCAGGAGATGAAATTCTAGTTCTTAAAATTGATTTAGCCCAGATTTCTGAGAGGTGATATCTGTAAGAGTAATTATGCCTTCTCCCACTTAATACATATCCATCTCTGATTACCAGCTAAGATACGAAGTCACTGTAAGTAGTCAATAAATGAAGGCTTGTTTCAGGCTGAAGATTACTTAAGAGTATTTATTTTGGAGTGTGTGAATCAACAATATATTTTTAGTATATCAAATTTTGGTATAAGAAGAAGTGGCTAAGTTCAGTTGTGTAAGAATAACATGACAATCAACCATCTTAACACTTTCAGTATTAGATTGAAATGTGTTTTCATATATGTTTGAATGTATGTAGCTATGAGAATGGGTGTCTGTAGCTGTATGACTTATTAGAATGTGGTCTTTCATCCTTTAGCAGTAGGTTTCTAATTTGATGTGGGAAAAGTCTGTAAGGTCTATTGGGATTGGGATTTGTGAGGAATTAATTCATTTACAAATAGTTTATTTTAAAGCTAATGCATTTCGCTTGTACATCTCTGGGAAAAGAATGAGAGCAAAAGCATTAAAATATTTTGTGGTTGGATAAGCATGAAGCTTTGTATCTTCTTGCCACACTAGCAGCAGAGTTCTCAGTACAAAAGGTGGGCCATTCTTGGGAAATCATCTTACATGAAGGCATATACTTCCTATACTCCTTTTAGTAGGTTATTGCTCATAATTTAGGCTAGTATAACGATTACTGACAAGATGTAATAACAAATGTAGTTACTGGAAGAGTAAAAACACCCAGTAGAGAATAAAAGTAAATAATTTATTTCTATCCAATCAAAACATGTATTTTTGTCTCCCCAAATCTGATGAAACTGGGCTGTTTGTCCTTGTTTGCTATGGAAAGAAGTAATGACAGTTAATTTTGCTCTTCTGTATGGGTCTTTTGTGTCTTTATAATTGCCTTTGTGGTAAAGCTATCAAAAATAGCAGGGGATATGGCCAGGTTACGCATATCCTGCTTTGGCTAGCTACTTCTCAAGGAATTGGAGGGACAACTCAACATAAGTAGCATGTACAGACCAAGGAGGGAATTGCTTAAAGATTGTGATTGGAATTGATATACTCACTAATAACAGAGTGAAGTCAAAGCAGAGTGTCTGTATGCCTGGGTAAATGAGGCTTCTGCCAGTTGGGAAAGAAGCCTGAGTCCACTCAGCTACCTGCCTCCTCACTACCTGTGAAGTGTGGGGAGGAAGAAGCAGGAGAAAGCCACTTCCATCTATGTGTCATTCTGAGGCAGTGACTCTACTTGGTATTAGTCAACATGCCCTGTTGGCATTCTGTGCCCTAATCAGTTTCTTAGCAGATTCTCCTTTGGAGATTTTTTTTTGGGTTATATCCTATTCATTTTTTACCTTAAAATATTCCATAGTTTGAGTTTTCCCTAAATTATGTGAAAGGATCACAGTCAACCGGTGGGACCTGTATGACAGAGTAGAATGGTATGTCTGAGCAGTAAAGTAGAGGCAGGCTTAAATTCCAGGGGATTTGAAAAAAAACTGCTCTAATGTAGTAGGAATACATTCCCCACTACCAAACTCAGTAGATTAGAAAATCATATCTGAAATTTGTAGGAAGGGAATAAAAGTTGCTATAAACATTCTTGTGTAGGTTTTTGTGTGTGCATGACATTTCAACTCATTTGGGTAAATACGAAAAAGCACGATGCTGAATCATATGGTAAGGCTATGTTTAGTTTTGGAAGAAACTGCCAAACTCTTAGAAGGTAGCTTTACTATTTTGCATTCCCCCAGCAATGAATGAGAGTTCCTCGAGCACTTTTGCTAGCATACGATGTGATTTTGAATTTCAGCTACTCTGATAGGAATGTAGTGGTATCTCTTTTTGACTTGCAATTCCATAATGACATAGACGTTGAGCATCATTTTATATATTTATTTGCATCTGCATGTTGTCTTTGGTGAGGTTGTGTTCAGATCTTTTGCCCACTTCTTAATGGGTGGTTTTCTCCTGAATTTTAGGAAGGGGATAAAGGAAGGCTTAGTTTGGTTCTTAAATCTTGATAGTATAAAAATAAATAGTTGGGTAACTTAAAAATTATATTTTATCTCTTGAAGGAAATAAAATTCAAAGAGATATGAAGGCGTTTACAGTGAACAGTCCCTCCCTTCCTATGCTTCAACCACGTAGTTTACCTTCTCAAGCAGCCCTGTCTTCAGTTTCTAGTGTAAGCTCCCAGTGACATTTATTATGTAGGTAGGCAAATACTAATTGATATTTTCATTTCTTTTTAAAATACAAATTTCAGATGATACATACTATTCTGCACCTTTTTCCCATTTACTAAATCCTAAAGATCACTTTATATCAGTATATAAAATCCTTTAAGAAAAATGATTGTATGATATGGATGTTTGTAATCTAACCTGTCCCTTACTGGTGAACATGTAAATTGTTACCGATTTTTTTGCTCTTGTAATACTGAAATGAGTTATCCTATATAAATTTACATCATTTTGTACATAAGTAAATTTCTCTGTAGGATAAATGGTCAGAGTATGTGCACTTGCAGTTTACATCTAAAATTAAATTTGTATCTGTAATTTTCTTACTTGTTTGCTCTTAGCAATGCAAGTGCCCATTTCCCCATGGCCTCCCTAATATAAGCGTTAGCAATTTATTCTTTACCAATCTGACAGGTTAAAACAAACCCACAGTGGTATTCTTTAATGGGGAAGCATTTCTTCATGCTTAAGAGCTTTTGGATTTCCTTTTTTTGTGAATCGTCTTCCATGTCCTCTCCCTGTTTTCCTTTTATAATCACCATCTACTTATCCTCATACGAATTTTAAGGCAAATCCAAGATCCAAGACAGCATTGTTTTATTTGTATACATTTCAATATACATAAATCTCTTTTTTAAAAGGACATTAGAAAAATAGCATCTTTCCTAAAAATACTAATTTCTTAACACTAAATTATCTTCAGTGTCATTAAAAAAAACTTCATTTGAATCAGGATCTTAACAATGGTCCACATGTTGCAATTGGTTATTATGCTTTTACCCCTGCAACATTTTTTAATAAAAAATTTCAAGCATACAGAAAAGTTGAATTATGAATGTGCCTATACCTACCACCTAGATTCTGCAAGTATCATTTTGCCCTGTTTTCTTTTATCTTCCATCAATCTCTTTTTCCTTGTGTGTCAAAGTTGTAGACATCTATACTTGATTTTTAAGCTTTTTGGAATACATATTGTTAACTAGAGTTTTTTTCTTGAGGTAAAATTTACAATGAGGTGAACAGGTGTTAAGTGTAGTTTTGGCTTTTGATGTACAGAATAATATGTATCATCTGCTGTAATTTATATTTTTAAAAGAAATGAAAATGTCAGTTAATACTTGCCTACCTACATAACTGTAACCCAAACCCCTAGCAGGCTGTGGAACATTTCCATCACATCCTAAAATTTTTTAGCCCAGTTGGCTCACGCACCACTCTCATCCCTTGTTAGGATTTTGTTTCACCATAGATTAGTTTGGCCTGTTCTAGAATGGCACATAAATGGCATCATACAGTATGCATTCTTGTGTAAATTTGACTCAGCATGTTTTGAGGTTCAAATGTGTTTTTGCTCTGTTCCTTCTCATTGCTGAGTAATAATATATTGTATGAATATGCCACATTTAACCTTTTACTGTAAGTGAACAACTGTTGGACAATGGGGCTGTTTCCAGTTTTTGGCTTTTATGAATAAAGTTGCTGTGAATATCCTGTGCAAGTCTTTTTGTGGACCTACATTTTAATTTCTTCTGTGTAGGTACCTAGAAGAATGTCCTGAGTTGTAAGCTTGATAATTTTTAATTTTACCAGAAATTTGACAAACCTTTTTCCAACGTGGTCATCTTATTTTACATGCCTGCAAACGTGAGGGTTCTAGTAGGTCTACTTCCTTCATTTGGTGGTGTCGGCCTGTGGTTTCAGCCATTCTGTGTGCGGTGGCACTGTCGTTTAATTTGCTTTCCCTGACAGTCGATGTTGAACATTATTCATAAGCTTATTTGCGATTCAAATCTCTTTAGTGATGTTGAAGTTCCTGTTTCTTGTTTCTTTTTAGTGTATATGTTTCTCCTTCCATTTCTTTTTCCCGTATTGAAGAAAATATTAATTTGTAAAGGTTTTCACAGTCTGAATTTTGCTGATTCCTTTCTGTGCTGTTTATTGATTGGTCTTAACTGTTTAGCAGGAGCCCTTCATCCTAGCAATGAGCTAGCTTTAAATACCTCCCCCACTCCCCAGTTTGCCACTTTGCTTATAATGGCAGAAGTTATTTTTATGTGGTGGAATTCTTAAATTTTGCTTTTATAGCTTCTAGGTTTTGTGTCAGAATTAGGACACCCCAGTGAAATGACTTTGAAACCACCTAATAATAAGGCATGAAGGTGTGTAGGTAAGGCAGATTCTGGAGTGTGGATGGACTCGGGGAACTCTAAAGGATCACCAAGGTGCATTTACGAATAAGGTTTTCAAGTGACCCAGGCTAAATTTTGGCGCCCACAGGTAGAAGTTCACAAATATATCCAGACTTGTGATCCCCAAATATACCTGGTTCTCACTGAGGTCAAGAAGTTCTGACCCTTGACAGTGACATTTGGGAACAAACACCAAGAACTAAAGAGAAACAGTTATAATTGCTGATTGCTGATAGTCTGGCTGTAGTTCCGCCCATTTCTTGCTCCTCTGAAGAAAGCAAACGGAATACATGTGATAATATTCAGCTACATAACCTCTAATTTATAAGAATTGTTTGTGATATATCTATAACTGAATATGAATGATACTGTTGTGCCAAAAGGTAGCATCCCAGAATGGTAAGGCAGTACAGTGGCCTGGAGAATTGTACAGCTTTTCCACCCTACCTGTCCGTTGGAGGCCTGACTTACTGCTCTTTAACAAGCTTAGTTATTAAGTCAGGAATCTGACATCCTCAGCAACACAATGTCACTGGTTCTATTTTTAACTGATTTTACATTTCAAGATAATACACTGTCTTTGAATAAAGTTTGTTATTCCAGGTGCAGAAACTGCTTGTCAGGTAATTGATTTCTGATTTTTGTTGTATACTTGATGTAGTTTGACATGCTGACAAAAACCTCTTAACATAAAAGTCATGTGTTATCAAAGTCAACTCTCCTCAGGAATGTTGAGAATAAAAAAGACCTCAGTAACTGACAATCTTCAAGCCAATAGATGTCTAAGAATCATTAAGATTTGACCTGCGAGAACATTTGGGGGCACATGTTAGGCTATTACTTGAAAGACATTCTACTATAAATCAAAATATAGCCTCCTACTTCTGAAATGTAATTTTTAAAAAGCCTGTGTTTTATGCTGAGCAAAGCTACAATGAGGCTCTGCTAGACAGGGGCCCTGAGAGCTGTTTCAAAATTCTAGTACATGCCTAGACTGCTTTCACAGAATGTTTAAATTATCTTTAAGAGTATTATACATTTTTGTTAATGACCATAAACGATGAATGAACCAAGGCCTTTATGTTGAACTGTAACTCTGA